ACCACCCTCACAGTGAAGAACTTCTTCCTAATATCTAACCTAAACCTTCCCTCTTTCAGTTTGAAGCCATTTCCCCTTGTTCTGTCACTCCCCGCCCTTGTCAGAAGTCGTTGCTGGCTCTTGTTGAGCTTCTCATCCACCACCACTCCCAAGTCCTTCTCTTCAGAGCTGGTCTCAATCCACTCATCACCCAGCCTGTAGTTGTACTTGGGATTGCGTTGGATTGATGTGATTGGTTTGGATTAAGACAGGTACTTGCCTTTCTATTGAAGAAGTCTGAGTTCTGCCAAACTCGATTTTCTGCAGAGAGTTGAGAAATCACTGCAAAATTTGAACTCCCCATAAAATTGAGTTAAAAAACCCTCTCGAGTTTTCTGACAGAAGCTAGTGCCAGTTTTGTCAAATGTCCCTATATCACCTTGTACAGCTGTTACCTTGACAGATTTGTTAAAAAGATGCTGTTAGGCGAATAGAGTTCCGATTTCAGTGAGTTAAAATTAATAATTTTCATCTTGGGTTTTTTTTTTTTAGTTCCATAGTTGTGTTCAGAATTAATTATGAGGATTAGATACTCTAAGCATACCTAGAGTTTATAACAACACTTCTAATATAAGACATTCCTGCAAAAAAAAGTGTAAATGCACAGTAAAACATAGTTAATGAAAGTGGTTCCAAATGTTCAGTGTTATTAACTGCAGAATGTACTGTGGTTTTTTGTTTTTTTTTCCTTTTAAAAAGCGCATTCAGTATGCAAAAACAGACTCTGATATCATCTCTAAAATGCGCGGTACTTTTGCTGATAAGGAAAAAAGGAAGGAAAAGAAGAAGGCCAAATCTCTGGAGCAGTCAGCAAATGCAGCAAATAAAAAGGTTATCCAGGTAAGCTGCTTCTCTGTTTAAAAAAGAAAAAAAAAAAAACAGATACAAAAGGGTTTTTTGGGTTGGTTTTTTTTTTAGGGCTAAGTGTTGTCTTTTGGTACTTCTCAATTTGCTAAATTGTGGTCTGTTAATATCTAGAGCTCTTGAGCACTCACTAGAAGTTGAAGGAGAGGGGGCTGATGCATAGTTTTTTTCTATTCCTTATCTTTTTTCCCCCTTCCTTTCTTATTACCAGATGAAAACAAAGATATAGAGCAAAGGTACAATAAACCAAAATAGAAAATAACCTCTTTTTAAAAAAAGGAGGGGTGTGTGCTTACCTTTAATGCCAGGCTCAAATGCTCAACCAGCTTCTCCCTTCATTGTTTTAATGCCCTATTTCTCTATAATTACTGGAGAATGGTAAATGGGAACAAGATAATTCATTTACAGTTAGGTGGAAAGGATTGGGCTTGGAATACGTCTCCACTAAGGGTTGGCCAGCCCTAAATTAACAACATTTAGTAATTTATGTGCTGAAATATAGCGGAAAACATCAAGGCACAGAGTTTGAATATCGTGTTATTTAAGTAAAGTTCCTGCTAAGGCACAAACTAATATCAAGGAGTGATAAGAGTGTTCATAGAAAGCAACATTTTCGGGGTAGAATATTCAGATTTCTCAGGATTTATTAAAAAAATCAGTCATTATATACAAGTCTTTTAAGAAGAAATAATTGCTACTAGCTGCAATGGTAATAGCTAAACTGGAGTCCTCAGCGGAAACACCTATTTTTCTCCTATTTGATATGTCCTGTCTAGGCCTTCATTTTCAAAACTACTTCCTTCCTGTCCATTAAACCAATTTTTATAATATGGAGAAATAGTGATTTGCTGTATCTGCTGATTCAGCCATCAGCCAGATCAGATAATACAGGTGTTTTTTCTTTGATTGCCTGGTTCTGGAGTTCAGCAAAACTCAATCTGCTTTGAGAAGTCTCATAAGCAACAAATGTTCCTTGGATTGAAGCTTAAAAAAACCTTAACATACTTCTGGAGTTGTACAGAAACATGGTGATGTGTGCTTATATATTTCTATATATAAATTTCTAACAGAACACTTTTGTAAAACTATTTTGTACTTATTTACTAGGGAGCAACACAAAATTCAGCCGGTGCCCCAGGGACTGCAGCACAGAATCAGCAGGTAATGTTTTGGTTTTGGGGTTTTTTTTGTGTCTGTATGACTAAAAGTACTAATGTTTAAAATTACTCTCTATGAAGAATGGTTTGTTACGCATGGAAACTTGAGGATATATTTTACAGCTTCCTTTTTGTTCTGCAAGACATTTGTCCAACAGCTAAATCACAGGAAACAAAAAAATCCCCCTTTTACTGTATCTAGTTGACATGAAGTGAAAATCTGCAGTTTCTCACTATTTAAAAAACTGCGCTATTAAGAAATGCTACTTGATTCTTAAATTTAGACTGTGCTCAGTATGAGTTGAAGGATTCTTAATTTTTGTTTTCATTGTTAATAAACTCCCTTTAACTTACTTTATTCTAGTAGTAGAAAAGGAGAAGCGAGTCTACGCAGGGTGCCGGAATATCTGCCTGAAAGCTTCTTCTCAGGAGTTTGGGGTCCTCTGCTCACTTTTTTTTTTCCTTCTCATAAGTGTTTTATTTTCCAAAGGATTGTGAAGGGATGTAGCAACAACTCCCTACGCTTCACTCATCTGCTCAGTGATCTTCTAAATGATTCACATGTGTTAGAAGTGGAAGGTACTAAAGAGATGGGATTTGCAGGAGGGCAAATACTGTAGAAGAGTATCTTTGCCTGTCCTGCATCTCTTTTTGAGTACTGTCCCTGGGAACTGGGACAATCCACAGCAGAAAACATCTTGCTCCCAGTCTGGGTTTTCTTTTGGGTATCATTTGTAACAAAGCACAATATGTGTATGTCAGTTTGCATCAAAGCATAGTACTGAGTCTTTAGGTATTTGTTTGAACTTGGGAAGTTTATTTTCTAATGGCATTGCCTGGAATATTTCCATCAGCTGAAGGAAATTGTTCTGCTGAGGCATTAACTTACTTGGCACCATTAGCAGGACATTTGAAGTTGTGGTGTCCAGTTTCTATTTATTTTTCTAGTCTCCTTGATGGCTTAGGGAGATTACAGCCTTTCAATCCAATGTCAGCAAACTGACTACTCATCCTCTTCTCTGGTGGGTTGCTACAAATTCATATTAGCAGGCAAATCTGTTAAAGACTCTAAAGCTTTAAATCTAATGGGGTTTCTAATTAATAAATTTGAATAGAGCACTGTGGTAAAACCACATGGGTTTTCTGTGTTTTAGTTGCCCTGTTTTGGTGCTACTGCAGATGAACAGGGTGTTTATCTTGACCTTCCATTTCTCTTCTGGAAGGATGTGAGTTCTTCCATGGCCAGGCAGGTGAAACTATTCTGAAATGTACAAAGGACAAGGTGGTTGGGAGTAATCAGCATGGATTTGTGAAAGGGAAATCATACCTGGCCAATGTGGTAGCCTTCTACAGTGAAATGATTAGCTTGGTGGATAAGGGGAAAACAGAGGATGATGTTTATCTTGATTTTAGCAAGGCTTTCAACACCATCTTCTGCAAAATCTTCATTGACAAACTGATGAAGCACAGACTAGATAAGTAGACAGTGAAGCGGACTGAAAACTGGCTGAAATGCCAGGTTCAGAGGGTTGTAATCAGTGGCACAAAGTCCAGCTGAGGGCCAGTCACTAGTGGAGTAGCCCAAGGGTCGATGCTGTGGTCAGTGCTGTTTAATGTCTTCATTAATGACTTTTTTCACTGTAGAGGTGGTCAAACAGTGGAACAGATTGCTCAGGGAGGTTGTGGAGCCTCCATTTCTGAAGATACTCAAAACACAATTGAACATGGCTCAAGGCAACTGCATTAATGAAACCCCACTTTGAGCAGGAAGGTTGGACTAGGTGATCTCCAGAGGCCACTTCCAACCTCAATGATCCTGTGATTCCACGTTTCTGTGTTTATATACAGATGTTGGGGACAGCACTACAGCCAGTGTTTAGGCACCTGAGTCCCACCCCTGGCACTGCTAAGTGTACTGCAGTAGCAACTGTTGAGTTGTCAAGCTTAAATAGGACATCTAAGACAATATGTTACCGTGATTTTTGTGGAAATAAGAGCTTCTCCAAATTAATAAATCCTTGTAAAAGAACCAGGGGGCTCTGTCAGCATATTGCATGAAGGTATCATGAAGTCCAGCTAGCAGTGTTATGAACAACACTAAGGAGATGCGAGTCGTGGTTCGAATAATCTCACAGACAGATGCAGAGGAACAGGTAGCTGTGTGTAATCTTCTGAGCATTCATCTTCTGTTGTTGCAGGTGCCTGATAACCCACCAAACTACATCCTTTTCCTTAATAACTTGCCTGAGGAAACAAATGAGATGATGCTGTCCATGTTATTCAATCAGTAAGTTTTGTATAGAAAGGATTTGTCCTTTGAATTCTTCTGTTACCTGTATGGTTTTTATGAGTTGGCAAGCTGACTTTTTAAAAGGAAGAGTTTCTTCTGAAGGTATTTCAGTTCTTTGTTTTACTGCCAAGATTACAGATGTCCATTCTAATGACTTGGTGCAGAAAGCAAATCTGATTTTTTTCATAACTGGTTTTGATTAAGTTATCTACTACCAGTCTGCACCAGATTTAAGCTGGTGACTGTAATATTAAGACTTTATAACAGCAGGAGCAGCTTTAAAACTAGCTTTAGTCGCTTCCATATGTGCACCAGACTGATTAAAATACTTCCATGTAATGATCCTTAATTGAGGCTTGGTTCCAAGGACTGGACATGTAAAACTCCTCAATTTAAATCTTTCATTAGTAGTGACTATTGTACTATTAGATGCTTATTATAAGGTCTTATAACTACTGAAGAGAGGTGTATTATCAGACTAGGAAATATTAGCTGACCCTTTCACCTTATTTTAAAGGTTTCCTGGATTCAAAGAAGTCCGTTTGGTGCCTGGGCGCCATGACATTGCATTTGTGGAGTTTGAAAATGAAAATCAAGCAGGAGCTGCTCGAGATGCTCTCCAAGGATTCAAGATTACTCCGTCTCATGCCATGAAAATCACATATGCAAAGAAATAACCGAATGCTTTTTCTTATAAAGGACTTCTGTGGGTAGTTGGTTGTTTAATATCGTGATACTCTGACCAGCTAACATGTTTGCTGTTCCCTGCAGAAATCTTAAGACTTGTGTAAAGTTGCCTAAATGGCCAAGACAGATGTAGGATTTCCAGGGATCTACTGGATAGTAAATTTTTGTGTTGAAATACTAATTTTTATAAAATAAATTCAGTTTATGCTGTTTTGAAGGCATGTTTTTCCTTCAATCTGTCGTTTTATTAATCTGTTAGGCTTGCAGGGCTCATTGCTATACTGGTTTAACTGCTTTTAAGGTGATAATCATTTTTCAGAAGTGAGTGCTGGAAAAAGAGCTGTGCTTCCAGAGCAAAAA